TTTTCTTGGCAGGATATTATTGCATGTAGCCCCAAATAGCACATTGCATGATCACACGATAATTTAAGTGAAGTGAATTACAGCTTTTGTTGGCAAAACAACACAAAAGATATAAAGAAGGATATAAATATGCATGCATACACGTATGTAAAGGAGACACAAAATGTTTAAGAAGTTGCAGGAGGAAAAAAGAAGAAGTTGGTGGTTTGAAGCTGTAGTTGGGAAAAGATGAAAAAATCCATCCACACTCATTCAAAATTACAGGTAGAATTCTTAGATAAGAAGAAATTATTTATACAAGCTGGAACAGGGCCAGGACACTGTCCTTTTCTATACTACACAACGTTATCATGTTTGAACATGCTTGTAGCAAATTGAGTCACAGGACACAAAGCTGAGCACAACTTTCCTCTGAGAGCAGGAACAAGCCAGCACAGCCCCCTCCGGGTCACCCTGGTCCTATTGTCATGGGACATCATGCTTTTGAATGCAATTTTCCAGGGCCCTGCCAAATCAGCCAGGATCCAATCTCTGACTGAACACAGCGTTCAAGTACAAGGCACCACTGTCCTTCATGCTCTTGTAGCCATTTGTGCTAATGTTACACCAGCTGAGAAGAGGGCTCACCAGGACTTAGATGCAGAAAACACCCCTGTGCAGCTGACACCAGGGAGCAATTCACAGGGACCTGTAAGCTCTCTACTTGCACAGCACTTTATTTACAGCTCATGCGGCAGAAAATGGAGGGACAAGAGGCGAAGCACAACATTGCAGCTGACTGACAACCTCAGTCTTCTTTTTCACTCCTGACTGAAAGTAGTGTGTGCTTCTTACACCAATAGATCTTCCTGCAGGATCCTGTTTACCTGTCCCAATGAGGCTTTATCCTGTGCAAGGCACTGCAGTGATGACTTTTGCTTTAGGGTCCTCTAATAAGCCTTCCTAATTTGAGAATAATGAAGACTGAAGGGTTCACATCCCTCAGGCCACTCAAGGAAGAGGGCAGCCCAGGATAGTAGAGGTTGGGGACGACACTAATATATTTTAAGTGCTTGCTAAACCTTTCCTGTTTGTCTGGTACAGAAAGGGGCCCTCTTTGCTTTGGTAATTTCACTGCTGGCACGTGATGGAGAGATTTCATCCCCCTCACCCTGCGCTGGAGGATGTGGCTGCTGGCACAGGACCTCTCCTGGGGCAACCATATTTCTGCATAGCTTGGGATTAATGTTGCAAAGGCACAAATAGGAAGATGGAAGGCAGTGCACACAGCACAGGAGGTGTTGGAAGCCTGCCCGCTCCCGATCCTTTGAGTCCATTTGCCAGCAATGCTGGGGGACAGCCACCAGACATGGTGCACCCAGCAGGGGAGAGCTGGTGCCCCGGGCAAGTGCAGGAGCAAAGGTCCTTCTCAACTACAGCTGCACTGTCAGTGCTGGGGAGAGTGTCAGGGATTATGTCCTGAAGGATGGCAGTGTGGCTGAGTTCTGGGACACACATGTGGGGACTCTCACTGTACTGCAGACAATGTCAGCCATTGCAATCATAAGTACCTTTGATTTCAGCTACATTTTTCCCCCAAAGACATACATTATTTTCTGACTCTTTGCTGCTTATTGATCTGCCATTGAGTGCAGGCTGCCAGGAGATGCCTCAGACAATAGAGCTCATTACAGTTCATTGTGCTCCCATTTTACATCACTCAGCCCTCCCCTCCTCTGTGCCTGACATTTTCAGCTACCCTACAGCAAAGAACTTGGCCAGGAGGGAATTCCAATCCCACCTCTGTCCTCAGGGCCTGTCACTCAGTGCAACTCACCTGTAAGGGAGGCATTTACCCTGCAGCCATGTCTGCCATCTCCAATTAAACACAAGCAGTGGGCTTTGGTTGGTCTGTCCTTAGTTGTCTTCTGCTGAAGATGTCCATGGGTCCAAACTCCCAGCAGATGTTTTCCAGACCATGAGTTTGGTGGAAGATTTCTCTGAGCCAAAAGAGATACCTCTTTGGAGAGGATGTAAATGTTTTCTATAGTCCATTGACTAGACAGAGTCTAGGGGCCAGCAAAAACCTAAGCATATAGCTGAGGTTTGAACCCCTAAAACTTAGGTGGGCCCCTAAACACACACACACACACACATAGACACACACACACTCCAATGCCAATCATCTGAACAATTATAAAAGAAATGCTCTTCCAAGGGCAGTTGTGCCTCCTACACAGGCCTCGGGCCAGCATAGCCTATGTTTGAGAAATGCCTTCTGCCTGCAGGAAAGAGGCTTGGAGATATCCCCTGCTAGACACTGGGTAGGGTGTCCCTGTTAGGGAGATGCATCCCCACCTAAGGGGTGAGGGTAGCAGATCCTGGGTGGAGCAGGGAATAGCTCTTTTCTGTCACTGTGTTCCTGTGCTGTGTTTAAAAGCTTTTCTGTAAACCTTGGCTGTTCAAAGAACCAAAGGTGTCAGTAAGTGCTGGTGGCATCAGAATAAACCTGTACTTGTCAAACTTGAGTACCATAAGAGCAATGATAATGTGATTATTTCCCTACACATTTTTACCCACTTTTTCATACCTAGTGCCAGGTCACCAGATTGTGGCTGAGGTGAAAGTAAGAAGAAAATCTAGAGAGGAAAGTTAATCGAATTCTTCCCACTTTCAGCACATTGTTGTCCATCTGGGAGATTCAGAAAGGGAATCTGATTTTTCAGTTGGTCTCCCAGTCACTGATAGCATCTCCAGGCCTCTTAAAAATCATTTGCTTCAGCTAAAGCACTGTCAGTTGAGCCATTTAAAAAGTTCTGGTTGGATTTTATTTCAGTGAAATTTACAGAAGTAAAAAAACCCTGAGAAATACTTTTCTACTGTTCGAATCCTTTTTCAATCCCTTTTGATGATTATCTTTACTTTCCTCTCACACACTCCATTTATTTTTCTGTTTGGATTATTTGTAGTCGATTAGGAGTTTTCAAGTGTGCAGCTTGGCCAAAAGGTGAATATTTTCAAACCTGAAATTAAATTGGCAAACATTTCTATCTTGAAAGCAGAACCTGTCAATTAAAAATTTCAATAATGAAAAAAGAGTAAATGTTTAGAATGGTATTGAAAAGGTACAAAATCTTTCTGTTTTGAAAAGATAAAAGCTCAGAACACTAAAACTTTCAAACCATTAGCTTCCCCTGCACCTCCAGCCAAGACTTTGTTCTGGCTAGCAGGTGCAATCTAGTGAAATGCCTGCCTGCTTCTGGCACATGAACCCGGGCAAAGAGCTAAAGTTTGAATAAACTGTACGGTATTTCAGCTAAGAGTTGGAAGTTGACCAATTTTGATGAAGTATCTTGCATTTGAGTGGGAATTAATGCAGCTCCATTCCAGACCCAGAATACAGAATTTTGTTTTCTTAACAAAAAATATCAGGTGCTGGCAGAATTGGCCCAAAAATCACATTTCATTTTTGCACTAAGCCACTGCCAAAAAAGTAATTATTACTCATCAGACTGATATTGTTGGAACTCAGAAATATAAAGGTGAGTACCTTATATTCACACATGGTTTGAGACTGAAAACCAAAACCCCAATATTCACCTTTTTTTGGCCCTCTGGTATCATTAAGGTCACGAGTGCACCGGTGGATTTTGAGGCTGGGAAGAACCACTGTCACAAGGCTATCCACACAAGCAGCAGCTGAGTCATTTCACTGCAGCAAGCCCAGTGACTTACTGGGGGAGGGAACAGGGCAGGTATTTCAGGGTGTGACAGTGGGGGCCTGGAGCTGCACCCCTCGTTTGGCCCCAGGTAATGTCCCACTTCCTCTGGTGATGAACAGCACTGCAGACATGGGTAATGACCCATTTGTCTCTCCAGCTTCATATCAAAACTGGGTGTTGATCCTTTCAGCCTCTCCTGTGCTATTATTGACTTATCTCTCATCATTAGTACTTAACATCTATTTTCCGGATTTTCAATAAGCATGGGCTTGTGTATATATAATCCTATTTACCTTCATGTTTACTAGCTGGAGATTTTCTTTCCCTGGTTCACAGTTTTGCTCACCTTATGAATTATCTTCATTTACTAACATTTAATTTGTGTCAGCTGCTATAAGCTTCTTGGCTGAATGCTGCATTTCCTGTTCTGAATCTGGCTTGGTGCATCTGAGTGTTTCTGCTGTGTTCCACACTTTTAATTGCACCCCACAGGTAGTCTAGCATCCTCTGACTAACTCAGCCAGTCCATTTTCTTTATTTTTAGCTCCCCTAAAAATAACTGACTGCCCTCTCACCATAAAAGGTGATGCACAGCTCTGTATTTCCAAAACATGTCAGTTCTTAGCATTTCTTTATAAATAACCTCTTGAGCCTTTTCCATTGTTTGGACCAGGGTAACCTCTGAAAAGATCAACTCCTTCCCTCAACTTTCCTGTAGTCTTAGGGTTGTGATTAATGACTGATGCCCAGATAAGGTGACACCATTGAAGACTTCCATACCATCTTTGCCACCCCTGTCTTTGCCACTCGTCTACAGTCACAGTCTGGGCTTTGTTTTATATAAACCATGTGCCAAAGCCTTGTCATTTGCTGGCTGACAGGAGAGGTTCAAGATATCTCCAAAGCCTTGCAGGTTGGTTAGCAGTGATATCAGCAACTTCATGGTGGCTTTCATCGTGCAACCCCCAGAAACATTTTCAGGCAGTATAAAGGGAGATTCAACCCACTGAGACATTTTCCCATTCCTGTCTCTGCCTCAGTATTGTTTGTGTTTCAGGAATATGATCAGGCTCCTTCATCCACTCACTCTCATCAACCAACCCCAGGAGTGTAGCCTCAACCCGCAGCTAATAGTGGGCACCAGGGCAAGAGCTTCTCTCAAGTGACATTGTCATCCTAATTTCAGCTCATCACCATTTCAGGCTTTTAAAACATCACTCACTCATGCAGCAAAATTCCCAGGCATCCTCCAAGTTAAGAACCAAATGAACAAAGACAACAAAGAAAATATTCTGATTATGGGTTCCAATTTTTTTAACCCTGATATTCTGTGGTACATTTCTTTATTTTTGAATATAAAGTGACAGAAATAATTTGTTGTTAGAAAAGAGAAAGTATCTTTGACTATTTACAGGTTTTGTACATCACAAAGGTTTTCATGTTTTTTGTTGATTTTTCTTTTTTTTTCTTTTTTTTTTTTCTCCACATCCTTTAAACAATGCTTAACTGGAAATCTGAACAGTTCACAAAAAACCTCTTCCCCAAAAAACAAACCCCAATGAGAAACAAGTGAAATCAAAGGGGAAAAAAATTAACTCCTTTCATAGCTGTCCATGAAATCCATTTGCTTAAATACATATATTTTTATATTTATAGATATTATTTTTTCAAGTTCAAACACCCAAAATTCAAGAGAGAAAGGGAAAAAATAAAAACAAACCTGAAACAAGTGTCTTCCCCACCCCCCTCCAGAATCTGTTGATCCCTGCTTGTCCAAAATCGGAAAGAGTTATTTACAGAAAGAAGAACCGGAGGAGGGCGAGGGTGTAGGAGAGAGGAGAATGAGGTTGTGACAGGCGGAGAGGAGACTGTAGGATTCGGGCCTCGGAGAGGTGAGGCAAGCCTGAGTTCGACTGCGCGTTCCCTTAGGAAGATGCCACCCTGGGGAAGCGTCCCCAGTGTCCCCTTGCCCCTTTGTTCAGCACAGGGTGCTGCCTTTCTGGATCCTGTCTCAGCCCACAGCAGGAGCTCGGTGTTTGTCTGTGCCCTTCTCCCCACACCCTCCCTTGGTCCTCCCACGCCAGCCAGCCCTGGGCATCTCCAGTCAAAAGTGCACCAGGAGCAGAGGGAGAGCCTCGGGGGTCTCTGCTGCACCCAGCTGAGCCCCTTCACGCAGATCCACGATTGGCAGCAATGGTTGCTGCCCCTTTCCCTCCCACCGTCTCCTTTTGCTGCTCACCCATTTCACTCCCAGTCTAAAGTCACTGTGTGTTCACAGGAGCCCAACTCCAGCTCCACAGGTTCCATTACATGAGACTCATCCTGCTGCCAGCTAACCTTGGCACCCTCTCCTTCTGTTTCATGACTGCAGGGCTTTGGCAAGTAACAGGCACTATGGAAAGGCTTCACAGAAAATCCACCTCGGATCCCAATTCTTCCTTCCCTCTTTACAATATTCTGACTTCAACTGCAACCTGCTGGAAAAGGTCTGCCAGCTAAGTCAAATTTCACACGACAGAGAATGAAGTTTATGTTGCAGATGTGAGCCTGCAATTTCCACATGATTTGTGTGTATTATAATGTATTAATCAGGAAACACTATGTAAATGTGTGTAAATGCAAACCACGATCTTAAATCAGTTTTGCATAATGCAAGTAAACAAATTAATCTCCCAATGTGCTTGTAAATGTTAATAAAAACTTGACATTAACCGTTAAGTTAATGTCACTAGATGATAATGTTACCGGATGAGAAAGCAGTGTTCTGTGTCACATGTCCTTTAAATGCAAATGAGTAAAATCTACATGTCCAAGAAACATGTTCTTGAGAACTCAAATTGCTGTTTGCTGCAAGTCATGTAAGCTCTACTTCATCCGTCAGCAATTTCTTTTTAAAACACTGCCTCCTCCCTGGAGAGAGTAAACCATCCAAAATGTAAGGATCCCTTGAATATTTGAAAAGTGGCAGTGACTGTGTAAGTAGGAGTATGCATAATTTAAAGGGGTTCTGGCAAGACAGACCTACAATTTTGGAGCAATTAATTAGGCTGCAAATTGAACTAAGCTAACCTGTAACCCTAGGAAAGCTGCTTTTATCACCCTAGACTTTTGAAAACAAAAGGAAGTTGGGTCAGCCTCTGTCCATTTGCATGCTTGTTTGCACTTCAAACCATCCTTCAAGGTTCGAAAGCAATGCCCAAGAAATAGTTGGCCAGAAAGTTCAGTCACTATTCAAACAGACCAGGATGTCTTGGATGAAATTCATGAAGAGTTGCCAAGATGAATGAGCACTTTGCATGATACAAAGAGGTTCTTGATGAAGCTTCTCCAATGTCACAATCTGAGGTGTTACTGCACACTGGTGGAACCAAAAAAAGGGAAATATTTTCTATACAATATTTTGACAGTCTCCCTGTAAATGCTGAAAGTTTGTAGCAGCCTGACAAAAGCAGCAAAGGGATGCTCAAGACTACTTGTGAGGAGTACAGTAAGACCTTGATGTGCAAGTTTCCAAAGAAGGGAAATGAGTTGTATTTTGAATCTTAGCAGAGTTTCAGCTGACAGAAATTAGGTCAAGCTGGCAGCAGAGGCTGAGCCCCGTGCACTGCACACATCCTCAGAGAGCATTTACAGTTCAGCACCTCTCTGGATTAGGTCCATACATGCACTTTCCCATGCTATCTGTAAAAGTAGAGCTAATTGAAAATGCACAGAGCAATCACAATTTATGGTTCAGGTTCTCTTTGTCCGGGGCTGGGATAAGTTACAGCATCCTCAAGGCTTTGCCCAACTGAGGAAGGGAAATGAAGCTGGAAAACAAGAGCACTGCCAGAATATCAAGATTTCTCACCAAACTCACCTGAAGCAGATGTTGATTACCCTGGGCATGCTGTCATCCCTTCATGATTTCCAGAAATGTAAGAAGAAGAAAACATCCTTCCAGGTACTGAAGTGGAGACTCTGGGGTCTTGTGGCTTGCTCCTGAGTGGATCCCAGATTCACCTCTCACTGCTCCCCTGCCTGTGTAGGAAAACCTAATCACCTTAGAGCATGGGGGAATCTCAGCTGTGTGATGTGTGCACCATGCTGCAAAGAGATGAGTGTAACTCTTTCAGATCTTGAAAACAAAAAAAAAACCAAAAAAAACCCCAACAGGGCTGAGGCCCTGACTGGCTCTGCCTTTCAGGTTGAGGCCTGTCCACATCCCAAATCAAGGCTCCCAGCACAAAATTCCTGCACTATTGCTGACTGCATCCCTGGAAGTTGCTACAATGCTTTCTCCAAATAGCAATCGTGAACATAATACTTTTCCAAATGAAAATGTCAGATGTCCTTTTCCTCTGCTCCTAGTCTTTATCCCTGTTCATACAAGTCATACCAAGTCACCTGGTTTATCGCGCCTGGATGCCTCAATTATTTCCCCTATAAAATGTATGTCTCATTTAACCTCAAGAAAATTAGATGCAAATGCATGCAAGATTTCCGGATATTTGCATAATATATGTAAACTATGGCATCTGTCAATTTACTTGTTAATGTAAATGCTAATATTAACGTATTTTAGTTTAGCATCAAAATTGCAAACTCTTTGAAGTAAGGACTGTGGCAGAGTGAAGCATCAAATGGACAAATCTTGTCTGGAAAAAGGACCTAAATGTTTTGATCAATTTTATGTCAGGGCTTCACCCTGCTGGCACAGCATTTCACTTTACTTGCTGCTTCCCAAATTAATGACTGCTACTGACACGGTCCAACTCCATAGCAATAGTGTTGTTAGGAGAGGTGGAGTTATTTTGATCAACACAAAATTACCCCTGAAGCCACCAGTTACTGCTTGCATTCAATGTGCATCCACAAGCATACCTTTCTGATGAAATCCTGCCCCACATGCTACCTACTTCCCCCTCAGTGACAGGAGCTACTGAGGAGGGAACTTTTGCATCTTCTCCAGGGATCTTCATATCCTCAGCTCAACCCAGGGCATCCTCCAGGATTAGTTGGTGGTTGAGATTAATATCACAGTATTTTAGGCTCAGGAGAACTCAATTAATTTACCTCAGTATTAAATACTCCAGCCCCTTCATGAAGAGATTTTTAAAAAGAATAAACATTTCTAGCTTCTGTAATGGAAATTTCTAAAGGCATCTGAGCATCTAAGCACTATTGGCTTTCAATAAGATGGGGTTTAAGAAATTTCTTGTATGTTTTTAAAAATCCTTGCCTATGTGATGCAAACATGCAAACTGTTTATTTTTTCCCAACATGCAGTGCTGATGGCTCACATCTGGGGTTGCCTGGGGTGCTCTAGGTCCAGGATGTGTACATGGGGAACTTGAACAGAGCCTAGCAAGTGCTAAGTGATTGAGACTTTGGACTCAGGGCTCATCCCTTGAGACCAAAGGGGTGGAGAAATTGACCCTGCCCTCCGTGGCAGGAACTAGTCTATTCCCTCAAAAAAACCCAAGTAGAAACATGCCCAGAGGCTGTGTTTGAGCACCAGTCAAAGATCTGCCTTATTGTACCACTGCTGTGTGCAGAGTGACAACAGCCAGAGTTTCCAAGTGAGGGATAAACCTTCCCTTTCTCCTTTCCAGGAAATTTTCCCTTGGGAGCTGAGGAAATAGAGAAGGAATAAGCCAATTCCTTCTTTTCTGCTTTGATGTGAGTCTACACCGCAGCCTTGAAGGAGTGGTGAGCACACGGTGTAAGTCACTCAGCATTCCAGTGCGCGTCCGCTGCCAAAGGACAAGCACCTGCCCAAAGCTTCACCTTGCAGCTGGCAGGGCTCCTTGGTGTCCTGCCTCCCCAGCAAGGACAGCTAATCAAAGGGCCACAGAGACAGCTCCAAAGCATCATGCTGCTCCAGTTTTAATTGAATGCCTCAGATAAGAAAGCAGCCACGAAGCCCTCACACCCTGCATGTAAAATGGGGAAGGTCAGCAGGGACAGCAAATTCAGTCGCCGCTGCAGCACAGAGAGAGAGCCCTGAAGTGGCTTGAGGAGGAAGAACACCTGAACAGTTAGTTCCTAAGTAATGTGGAGCTGCAAAGCTAGAAGAAGTGTCTGGTTCATTACAACTAGCTCCTCTTCATTCCAAATAGTGTGCTTTTACCTGTATCTTAGCACAGCAAGGTTCAGGCTCCAGAGCTGAAAAAGGAGTATCTCTGTGCAGGAAAGGACCAGAACCTGGGGAAGTGCCTTCATTACATGGAAAAGTCCTTGCGTGTGAAAGGCCTAAGAGAAGCCTAATTGTTTGCTTCAATGAGTAAATAACATCTGATAATCTTCCCCAGGTATGGGAAATACCCCTTTGGAGATGCCTTTTGTGTAACTGCAATCCTAATCCCTTGTTCAAATGTCAAAAAGACACATTGAATATCTGGTTTTTGCTGACACAATCTTGGTTTCTGGTGGTGACACAAATAATCTGTGAGGGCAAACAAACCCAGCAGCGCTCATTAACAGAGACATTTCAAGAGTATTCAAGGCTTATGTGCTCCAGACCTCCAGACTCCTGCCTTTGCTGTACTTATGGACTGGCAGGAGTTCTGTCCTCCCTCTGGCATGCTTGAATGTCTACCTGAAAGACCTGATATCTGAGCAGTTTGGTGCAGAGACAAGGTGAGAAGAATGAAAGCTGTTTCACTTTGTCATTAGGCCCTGTGGGTCTAAGGGAAGGTGAGCCTCCTGCTTCATTCCAGTGAAGGGAAGGTGAGCAAGCACACAGGCTGGAGTAGAATGGCCCTTGGCTCAATTTCCAGCAAACCACGTTGCCACAGCCCTGGCTCCAGAGTCTGAGACATTATGCTTGGAAATCTGAATCTTCAGAGCATTCTCCAAATGTCTGCTTTAACTCTGGTCCACTGGATGGGTCCACCAGTAACACATGCAGAGCTAGAGCAAAATGGTCACAGGTAGAAGATACCGTATTCTTTGTAAGAAAGCAGGTGGAATCTACAAGGTACTTGAGCAAAGTAAGATAAGCAATACTCCTAACTTGTGTGTAATGACTTCTCTGCCCTCATAAATCACTGAAGGACACAAAGGAGTTTCCCATAAAGGGCCCTTTTTCTTAACATGCAGGTGCGGGAGGTCACAAGGGCAAAAAGGATGGGATTAGCAGACAGAAGAAGTGGGAAGAATGGTAAATAGCCAGATACTCACTGGAGGAACAGCCTAGATTTGTAACTAATAATGAGAAAAGCTTAATAAAGCAAAGTCTCTTCTTCCCTGTAGGAGTCAAAAAGCAATTACAGATAGTGCATGGCATAGGGATTGGCAACAGGGAGAAACAGGCTAACTAGGACCCACAGAGGCCAAGAAGATGCTTCAGGATTTGGTCTTTTTTATGATAATAGGACTGTCCCCCTCTTTTTTCCACCAAGAGGCAATGTTCCCATGGATCCTCTTTCATACCTGGCTCAGAACTCAAGAACCCACCAGTCTAGCTGGTCGACACCATCATTGCCTTCAGGTCCTCCTTATCTACTTCACCCAAGTCTATATTGACTTGAGCACAAGACAAGATTTCTATCCAGGATTCTTTTTCCTAGCACACTGCTAGAGGTGTGGCCTAGGTTGATACTGAGACTTCACTTTTTTTCAGACTTCTCAGTCAGTGCTGAACACAATTTATTTCATAGCTTATTTTAAGCTATACGGTACACTATTTCCCTGTTATCTTCCAGTCTACAGTGTAGAAGACATCCAGACAAAAAGGACAGGAGCATCAGAGAAGGTCCCTGCTTGTTGGTGGGGCAATGTTTTAGTGATTGTGTGGGAGATGGGGGCATGAGGGAGTGAAGCTGAAATTCATTTGCAGATCTGATTCACTCAGGCATGTGGAAAACCTTCAGGACAGAATGAACAGAGCAACCTACCAACTTTCCTTGACCATTCCAAAAACCAGCATCTCCTCTCTTCCGGGCAAGAAGGACTCACAGCCTGTGCTGAGGAGCCACCTTGATCCACAGCAGGGTGGGGTGGGTGCTAGCACCTGCTCAAAGGCAATGTAGTGCTCCAGCACCTGGAATCAGAGCCTTCAGAGGAGATAAGGAGCACTGATACCTCACCACCTTCAGGGGAGCAGAGAAGCACAGCCCTCATTTCTAAGAGGGTCTGGAATGCTGAGACGACACACTGTTTTGTCTGGAATTTGCAGAGGCAGTCTGCTTCCTTTAGTAAACCGGAGGGAGGAGTAAAATTTTTTTTAAGAGGGAAGAATGGCACCAATATATCCAGCAAAAGGACACTACCTTATTCTTTTACGCAGAAGGAAATGTGAAGAGCCCCTGCTTTAACTCCCATAATTCACATTACAAATAAAAAAAAGAATTTGTTCAGTCCTTCGTTAATGTCTTACCTCCCTTGTACCTGCCTCCCACTACTGATACCTCAACTACTCAACAATCTTAAATCAAGAAGAAAAAATCATGATGAATGCCACACTCAAAAGCAATTCATGGCCATTTTCAATTTGCCTTTTGGTTTTTTGAGTCCTTGGGATTCATTCTGTTCTTATTTTCAAGGTTTTCTTCCCAGCAATAACAGATAAAAAAATCTTTTCATATAGAATGAGTTGTGGTTTTTCCTTCTTTTTTTTACATAATCACAAGATTCCAGCTACCAAGATTGAATACCAAGACTGAAGAAAAACATTATGTATTGTGAATCTCACTGTAAAAGCCATGACTGCAGTATCTCTCTCTCATACACCACTGCTTCTCTCTTCCTTCTTTTCCCTCAGTAACTAAACAAAAACACCCTTTGCACAGCTTTTATTCTTGATCATTTTATTTTGGTGGTTTTCATGCTACATAAAAATTAGTTTTTATATCAAAAAATTATTCACAATATTTCCAAAATAGTTCAAGTTTTTTTTTCCTTTTTGTGTTTTTTAAATATTTTTAATGTATTTTTATTTCTTTTTTTTTTTTAACTGCAGCTAGGGTTACAAAACATCCCATTTCCTCTCACCACCACCAATTCACTGTCGGTTCCCTTTTACATTTGCATATGTAAAAAAAAAAGAAAAATAACAAAACTTTTTATATCATTTACTTGAGAAATAAAAAGTCATTTGGCACTCATGTCTCTGTGGCTCTGATTTTCACCAGTGAAGTGGCTGGAGGTGGGCATGTGTGTGTGTGTGTGTGTGTGTGTGCATGTGCACACACATATGCATGCATAAAGGGTGCGAAGAGGAGGCAAAATTTAGGCAGAGATGGTCTCAGAAGCGGACAGGATATATCTGCTGTGTTCAACAGCCTGATGGGTGGCCAGGTTCACCACAAGGTACCAACAGCTCAAGAGAAGAGGAGGTAGCAGTGTTGGGCAGTAGAAGACTTAGACTAGAGGTGAGTATTTCTTTTTCTTTTGGTTGATAGACTGAGCTTACCAAAGGTGCTCTCCAAAGTAAATGCACATTAGTTAGAAAGCAAATACAGCTGAAGTTGACCTGTGACAGGTCTAGAGACGCTACCTGCCCCAACCCTAGTAGACACAACAGTCCTCCACTGCTGTCCTCAGCCACTTCCAAGTGCCAAAGGATGAAGGTGCTGGGTTTTCCCTTAGGTGTCATGATATTGAGAGCTGGCCAGCTGCCCATGCACCACCTCTAATTCATACTTCATGGTTTGTGAGACTCTGCTCAGCCTTGAATGATGTTGTCCAAGTTCAGAGTCATTCCAACCCACTTGCAAACAGGTCAGGAGAGACAAGGCTGAAGACCTGTGGCCCATTCAGGGTCATTCATTTGTCCCTGTTGCAGATCTACGTGCCTGGCTCCTGCTCCAGTGTGGGAAGGACTGTGCAAGGGTCAGTGAGCCATCTTCCCCTGCCTGCCCTCCAGCCTGATCCACAGCCCACGCAGACTAGAGGATGATCAGCAGTGGGTGACCATTCCCTTTGGGTCAGACCCCTCTGCTGCAGGGGTCTTGTCCAAAGAATGGCCATGGAAACTGCCAATTCCATCCTCACCTGGAAATCTTGCACGGCTTCAGGAGGGCAGGACCCAAGGGTCAGACAGGCTCCCTGCCTTGCAACAGCCTTTGGTGCAATGGCCAAAGCTCACTGGAGAAACATTTTAACATTTTTTAAGGGAAGAAAAGAGACATTTTAAAAGGAAGGAAAGAGAGGGAGTACCAAAAAAAACCACCAAAAAAAACCCCACAACTACAACAAAAATCTCCAAAGCCCACTTGTGCAACAATTAAATATTTTGTCTTCTGTGACTCCACAGGGAAGTCAGTGAAAAGCTACTTCCCGAAAGGCTGCTGCCTCCACTATATACCAGGCCTCACCTCCAATTACAGATGGTGCTTTGGTCACTGGCAAAGAGACGTTTCAAGATAGCCCTGCCATTCAGGAAAAACGTACAAAGGAAAGACCCCAAATACAGCTGAACCATACAAACAATAACCGCACAGAACTGAGGTCTCGGAAAGTTGTATTGCTGAAAACACCTCCCTGCGCCCACTAAAAGGACTGTGTAAACAAACAAACAAACAAACAAACATACAAAATAAATCAACAGCTAAACAATAAACCTCCCCCCTCCCCCCCCACTCAATGTTAGAAATTTTGAAAATGCAAAGCTAAAAAGAGCAGTTTGCTGTGTTTCTGACCTCAGGTGAGAGACAGCCTGCTCCAAAGATAGGAAAAGCAACCAGACTGGCAGAGGCCTCCAAAGCTAGCAGCTTTCTGTGCTAACCTCCACACTGACTGCTGTCCAGTGGGAAGGTCATTTCCTACAGCACCTCTTGAAGGCTCCAGCTTGCTAGGAGTTTTTAGGTGTATAGCATGTTGATAATAGCAATAATATCTAAAATACACACACGCACATGTACAAGCATTCACACACATATATCTTCTCTTCCATAAAAGACAAACCTGGCAGAGCACAGGATACAATTTGATGGAGAGGAAAGAGCAGCTAGACATGGAAGAAAGCAGAGGAAGTGGATGGAAGTGGTCTGACAGAATGAGTCATTGGAGACCACAGATTATTCTCTTACATTTCATATATATGAAGAAAAATAAACCATCAAAGAGGCCCAGTGACACCAGCACTAAAGGGCTGGCTAAGCAGACTTAAGATAGGCTAAATGATGAGTGCCCGAGCCCCTAAATGTTGCTCCTTCCTTTTCTGACTAATCATGGCATCTCTTCATTGGGTCCTGATTGTCTTTTCTGGCTGCTGACAGAGGACAGCAGTGTCTTGTTCAGCAGTTGGCCAGTTAAAGTGCTGTGCCAGTTGCTGCCAGGGCCCTCCCAGAAGGTCATCCTCTCTGGTGCTAGCAGTCTCGTGATCTCTCCTGGAAATGAATGGGATGGCAAATGGCTGCAGAAAGTTTACTTCCTTCTACTCTCCCTTTTCACCATCTCCTCTGGAGAAATGGAAACCCTTCAGAGTGTAGGATTTGCAAGCTCCCTCCTCAGCTCCAAGCAGCAAAAGTGATGTTCTTCCAGGTAATGGGATGGGAGACCAGTTCACCTCAGCTCAGTTTTTTTGTGTGTCTATCTGACACAAGAGCAAGAAAGGACAGGCTAGTGTTTTCTCGCAAGTGGAATTTCAGTGCTTGCATCGCCCAAGGAGCCAGCAAAATGAATAGCAAGGGAGTCTCTTGTTACAGTCACAGATCAGGTTGACCAGACCTCTCCCAAAAGACCTTACTGGTCAGGGTGTGATTGTCTTTCTGCTCCACCTACCAGTTAAGGCCAAAGTAGGTAATGAGTGTGGCACAATGGTTTGGAAATGCAGCACAGTAGATGAAGCACAGAAGTGAATGAACATATGGAATGGGTTTCTGATGCTGCAGTCAAACCCTCTACAGGGGTCTGCATCCCAGCCTCATCACTGATTCAGATCTGGTCCCCTGGAATCCAAAGAAAGCAGCCACGCCAGGGTGTACCAGGAAGGAGCAAGAGGGTTGCCAATTTACCTGCAGGTACCTACCATCCCCTGGCTTTAGCAGCACACAGCTCCCATCGCTTTTGTCTCAGCTCAAACACATGCGTACAAACACCTAAGCACAGTGGCACCACACATACAAATGTGTGCAGGCTGCATAAATACACATACCAACATGAACCCACCCCTGCCCCCCACGACAGACACGTGCAAGAAATACGGACAAGTAGCAACAGGCATGCAACATACACAAGGGGATCCCAAGCAGAGGGAACCCCTCTAAGCTATGTTCAAGCATGGTAGGTTCCTGGGAGATGAATCCTGGCAAAATACACTGTGGGAAGTGGCCCACGCGAGGAAGAGAATCCAAAAAAGCCATTCCAGGCATCTAAACCCCTAAGTAGCTCTTCTGAAAGCTCCTTGAATTTCACAGGAGTTTAGCTGCCCGTGAAGATGGATCTGGCTCCAAGGCCTGGAAGGGAAGTAGAGGGAGAAAGTACAAAACTTGAATCTTATCCCCTTGACTGATTTTTGTCTGTTCAGGGACAGGTATCACCTTTTTCTGGTTGACATGGGACTTACCAGCCAAGTGCCCAAGGACCTAGAGAGAAGTCTCATGCAATAGATGCATTCTCTCTGGACACCCTGCAAATGTTGCCTTTATGCTGTACTTCTGGCACACTGAATAAGCAAAGGAAACACAGCAAAGGCCCTTGTGATGTTCAGAAAGGTAACTCACTATTTTGCCATAAATTAATCTATGGGATGTTCTCCCAAGGAGATACCTACCTGCATAATTGCAGTAGCATTAAATGGGCCAGCATTTCCAACTCCATTTATGTTTAGAGTTCTGCCAGGAGTCACTCAAATGTGCAAACATATACCTCCTCCCAGCCTTACAGGTATTTGTAGCCATGTATTCACCAGCACACAGACCTCCATGGACCATGCTGGGACAGTTTTGCCAACATCATAGCAAGGGTACATCAGAAGCCTGACTGCCCTACTCCCACCTGGGAGCAGAGATCCATTCCCAGGTGGCTGTGGTGGTTTTTCTCACCCAGAAATCAGAAACACAGGCCTGCAATGGAATGGCAGGTTGAGCAAGAGTTAGCTGCAGCTAGGAGAAGGTTGCTGCTCTGAATAACCTCTGGCCATGCTGATCCTTTGCATTGCTCCCTGCACTGCCCATGTACTCCCAGACAACTGCACTACACACACAGAGACTGACTGGCCCTTTCTCAGGCTGTGGCCAGCAGACCTTGGTGTCTTCAGGGATAAGCAGCCAGTGCCAGGGACATTGAGGATGGTGGATTGATGGACGTTCAATAAGGAACAACACAAAGTGTCAAAAAGGGAAGGAAAGACATGTCTTGGCATCTGCCTAAAGCCTCTACCAGTCTCACATTGGCTCTCTCCATGCTTATTCACCATCCTACCACTCTTCTTACTGCTATGACATCAGACCACCAACCCTAGCAGATAATGCCAAGTACCTGTTTATAGTGACTTGTCAGACAGAAAGGGACCAAAGACTACCAGGGGTTCACTCCCAGGTCTGCAACACAGCAGAACTTCACATAGGCCTTTAGAAGCCTCTAGGCAATAAAGGAAGTGTCCTGTGCTTTCAAAAGATAGCATACTTCTCTCCAGCAGCCTTGCTTTATTCACATAGAGTAAAAGCAAAGAAACTGTACTGATCCTGATATGGGTCAACCTGGAGTGGATAAAAACTCTCTCCCTGATATAAATTTATCAGTCAGCCATCAAGGACAGAAATTAGGTTCTTTCTCCGGGCTTTCTCAGGAAATACAATTTCACTGCTCCCTTGCATGGGCAAATTTGCCATACTGATGATTTCTTGAGTGTTCAAGAGTAGAACACTACCTCAATAAACATGACAGAGAAGTCAAAAATAGCAACAAAATATCATCTTTTAAAAACCTGGTCATGGCTAGAATTTTCCAGGAGAGAAGAAGTGGATGCCTGCCCTTCACTCATCTGCTGCACAGCATTGCACAGGCTGATGAAGACAACAGAGCAACAAGGGAGTAATAAGAGAAGGAGAGCGGGAAAACAGCCAACATAAGTAATTCTGAGGGAAGAGGCACTGAGATGAAATTGAAGAATTGGTGTAAGATGGGAAAGTAGATAAGAGGCCAGAGAGTTGAAGCAGTAAGCTGCTGGAGAGATCAAAACACCTGAAAATGAGGTTCTGCTAAAAGAAAGGACAAAGAGCAGAGGAAATAAAGTGGTCAAGAATGGCACAGAGGGTCTGACACCATGGTCCTCCCCTTTCACTGGTACTGGAAAGACGACAAAAAGAGGGAGAAGGAAGGGTTGGCCAGGAGAGGAAGACCCATAGGGAGGTCCCTGTAATCCACAGTAACAAATGCACCCTGCTGACATCCCAGGGAGAAGACAATGGGGACCAGGGAAGAGGAAGTAATCAAAGAGCAAAGCACACAGAGAAGGAAACAGCCTTGTGCCTCACACAAACAGTCCCTAGCAATCGACACGGCTTTTATTACAGGAAATTATTAACACCCTCTGCTACCCACCACCCCTTACCAATCCCAAACCTCCCCTCTCTGGGGACCCTTTCTTGGCACACACATATAACATCCAGATAAACTTTCCAAACCAGCAAAAGCAACCACTGAAACAACTTCAAACACCACAGACCAATAAAACCACAATTTAGAAGTTAACTTTCCCAACCCCCCCATGCCATTATTTAATAAGGAAATACTGTACAGATATAAAACCCACCCTTTTCCCAACCTGAATATAATTGCTTGAGCTAGTTTCTGTACATATATACACATGTATTTACACAGTAATGCTGCAGTCAAGAAAGCAGATGATGTAAAAGTCACAAAGTGAATACATAAATTAAATAACTACCAGCAGAATATTAGGAAAGGTCACGCTGTTCCTACTTGGCAAAAATGTGTTGTGGGACAGAGTCATTAAGTATAATGCAATGTACTCTGTGTCGTGTGTGTGTGTGTGTGTGTGTGTGTGTGTGTGTGTGTGTGTGCATACAGGCACACAAACCTCACAGTTTCCTGCTGTCTCAGGTCTGTTCATGTATGTCTCACTTCCCCAGTATGTCTTGTATGTGTGTGCGTGCCCAGAGGAACCCCTGTTCAACAGCATGGAATTATTTTCTGACCTGTTGGAGTGTATACCAGTACTTGCTGTGAACCTTTAATGTCAGGAAGCCAGCAGGTTAAGAGATCTGAACTACTAACACCTCACAGAGATCCTTCTTTACCTCATCACTCAGGGGACTGTACCCTTAACATCGGTGGACATAAGTCCTGCTCTCTGCAATATGGTTTCAATGCCTTTTTCTATACACAAGCAAGTTTATGCTGTGTCAGTTTTGTTGTCAGCAATGGCAGAAGGGTGCCAGAATTCACTCAAATGGCATGGTTAGGAGAGGAATTTGGGGAATTCTCAAGAAACAGAGAAAAAAATTGAAAGTCAATTGCAAAGTGGTTTTTGTTGCTGCTGTTCTAGTGACAGACACCCAGGTTTGTCTGCAGTCAGCCCCAGGGAGGTCCAGAGGGCCCATGAAGAAGATGAAGCAATAGTGTTCATATTGCCAGTGAGACACTCGGCACCCCAGTTTGCCTTTGATGGGGGAGGAGAGAGGAAGCCACAGGGAAGTGTAGGTAAATGCAGCGAGGGTCTATGGCTTGGAAATCTATTTGGCTGCAAATTGAAAATAAGCCCTTGTGGGGACAACAATCAGGTCCCACTAGTTACTATCTCAATGTAACTACCTGCAGCATCCAGCAGCATGGTAGGTGTGTTCCAGGTGGACACGCCAGGTGAGTTCAGCAGCAGGGAAGCACTTATGGGAAAGAGTGGGTGCAGATGGGGATCATGGCTTGGAGTCTGTCCCCATTTGTTGCCAGCAATTTGGTTCCTTTCTCACACACAGCTCCCAGAGACTCCTGTGGCAACCAGGCCTGTGCCACAGAAAGGAAGCATAACTGGCCCCTACCCTTTGCCAGCTTGGATAAAGAAGAAAGGGTGAAGTGTAATTCCACAGAGCAAGGGCACAGAGGGTCAGCACAAAGTCCTTTCATCAACACTCCTGATCTTTATCTGCTTCCATTTTCTCTTTCTTTTTGGCAACCAAAAATGTGTGGGGAAGTGCAACCTCCCACCCTTCTCCAAGAGAAGGGCTCATCAAAGGTTGCTTGACTGGAGTGGAGGATGTGTGAAAGGCCTAAGTCTGATCATTGGCTGTGTTCCCAGGCTTGCTTCCATCTGTTGATAAGCAATGGAGGTGGGAGGATATGCCATATTTGATAGAAAGCTCTAAAGCAAAGACTTGTCTATGAAGATCCCTGAGGTATCTCTGATCACTCCAACCTGTCACCACCATCATATTCATCCTTTATCTCCCCCTCTCTCTTTTGCTGGCAATTTTGCTGTGAGCAACACCCTGATCTGAATGTACAAAGGGGCACTATTCAAGATGGATGATAGTGTCTTCTCGGAGTGAGGAGCTCAACATCAGCAGACATTGCTGAAGAAGAGGCCCATCCTGGCAACTTTTAACCCCTTCATCGAATCCTTTGCAAAGTCAAAAGTAAGCTTCCTCCCCCAGTATGCTGGAAATTGAAGTACCAGTTCCCTACAGGCAAAGTTCATACTTTGATATTGCTGAGCATTTTGAACCCACTGGGGTTCTCACCTGGAGAGTTCTGACAATGCATGCTGGATTTCAGAGAGAATGGGATTTTTTGTTGTTGCTGTTGTTGAGGTGGGGACGGTGTGCTTCATCGTCTCAACTGACAACGAGTTCTGACTGCAGCTTTTCTTGCCTGCTTAGGATGTGACATTGCAAGCTCTGATACTGCCCTCACTGGGAGGCATGATGGGGAGACAGAGAACACCAGCCTGTGTTGTGCTGCACTACAGTAAAAAGCCGGTGTGAATACTCCAACAAGTTTTATGATGTGGAGATCCATGGCTGCAAGTTCTACCTGCCAGCTGCTTTCTACTGTGTATGGCACATTTCTGATATTTTTTGCATATTTCCTCCATCTCTTTCATAGACATCCTCCTTCAGCTGAGTATATACACTCCAGTACCACTTCAGAAGAACATGGCTCATGAAAATACCTCTCAGAGAGCCATGCCTCTGGCTAGAAGTGAGGAGGTAAATGTCAGAAACACTGCCAAAGGTGCCTAATCTTTCCTGGGAGGCTGTCTGCAAATAATCAGTAGAGGTCACCAACTGTAGAGGACACAATGGTTTTTGCTCAGTATTCTTGTGTGCAGAAAAGTTCAGAGAGAGGAAATGTTCCCAGCCACTGCCCCAGAAAATACTGGTGTTTCTACAGCAGAGAGAGAGAAATGGTAAGGCAGGGGATGTGGAGTTTTGTCAGGCTCTGGTATGAAATCCCATTCTTTTCTGGACAGGTAATAAACAGCACATGGGTGGTTTTCTAGTATAGACAACACCTGCTGCTAATATTACCTGTTTGATTCACTTGAATACTTACAATGAAAATACACCAAATCTAAAATTCTAAATATATAATCAGAGTTTAATAACATCATTGATTTATTTTCTTGATTATGAATTATACCCTCCCCCCTCCCACCCCTTCCCCTTCATCTCTGTCCCAAAAACTTGTTGACCTGTCAGAACTAAAATAAACAAAGCAACCAGAAAAGATCACTTATAGGAGAAAGGATTAACCTGATGGACACGTGGCCTAATATGTTATGGGAGAAGGCAAAATACCAGACTCCTGTGGTTAGACCAGTGGTTCAGTCCAGAATTTCCAGTTCTTCTTTTCTGGTTGCCCTAGAGCATTCATTTGAGTGGTTTGTGGCACAGTTAATATTTGCAGAGCACTCAGAGTGTTAACAGTGCTACAACAGTAAGAATACTAGATAATGATTTTGGCAAACTATCATTTGCCGATCAGCGGAACAAGGGACAGACCAGTTCGGAGAAAATACGAACCAACTTTCAACCCGGAACACAAAAATCAGAACCTTTAAGAAGAGATTTGAAAAAAGTTCCATTAACTTCTTTTTGGTTTGTTTTCAGCTTAATTTCCCTGCAGAGCCACCCTCCAGGTTTCCTCGTTCCAGGTGGGGAGGGACGGAAAAGTACCGAGATAACCACCAAAGACATTAGCTGCCCTCGTCAGCTGTCAAGCTTCCCAACCCCAAGCCCTTAGGAAATACCAGAAATTATCACGAGCTTTCCCAGGTCCAAGATTCTAAACCAAAGTAGCATTGGAGAAGTCTCTTAATGTCAAAATGATGGTCCAACCTGAGTGGCCAACTTGATGGTTCACCCCACCACTATCAAGACAGTGTAGTGCCTTGAGGCCCAAATTCCACAGAGAGATGCTGGTACAGAGAGTTTATATGCAAAAAGGAATTGGGGGTGCTCCCATCAAAACATGAAACCCTGCTGGCAAGGCTTGAAGTGACGTTCCGGCGTCTTCCATTCATGAAGATAAAGGTGACAGGGCAATACAAGGGGCCTCAGGGGAACACAACACACATGGGTTTCTCTCTCTCTCTCTCTCTTTTTTTTTTTCCTCATTCATACGGCCTCGACCTGCGTAAACCGCTTCCAAAAATGCAGCCTGAAAAGTCATAGAAAACAAACAGAACGGAAACAAACTTCCCCTCCCTCCCACCCCACGACCTGAATATTCACGAGAAGAGAAACACCAATTTATACAAAAACGCAATAAAAAAGAAATATTTACAAAAGAAAGGAACGCCTTCTTGGTGGCCGCTATCAGAGGTGTTCTGACAAGCTGCCGTGTGTTCTGGATTGCAGATCGCTCTGTTAATTTGTTTGGTTTCTTTTTTTACTCTTTTCCTTTTTGTTCTTGTAATGAGAGAAGAGGGAAAGACTAAGAAGTGCCCTTACCCCAGAGACTAGGGGGTGGCATCACAAAGACTCTCCCCCTCTTTTCTCCTTAATTTCCTCTGTGAAATATAAGAAAATATTCCCCTCACCAACCCTGCCCACCCTCTCCTCACCACTTTGACTTTACAGGAAAATCCCACCCTCCCCCCTGCCTCAGCTTAAAAAATAAATAAAATAAATAGGTAAATAAATAAAAGGCCTTCTGTTGGCTTAAAAAGAGAACAATAAGATAAAATCAACCATGGTGTGGTGAGGAATGTGAGAGAGGTGGCTTGCAGCTCAAGAAATGTGGCTCATAAAGACAGGGCTGCCATCTCCCTTCAGAGTCAATCCTCTGCAGTGTCCCCATGCCCTCAGCACAGGACTCTCTCAACCCTTCACCTGGTGAGCCATGGTGATTGAGACACTGGGACAGACCCAGAATAAGCCATAGAGACTTTGCCATATCTCTCAGGATGGGAGAGGTCGGTCCACACCCCCACCTCTGGAGATAGATGACATATGAAAGGTGTGTTCAGCTTCTCATTCCTACCATTGCTCCTTTTCCTTTAGTTTAGCTTGCATCTAAAATGATACAATGAAAAGAAAAAACACTCTTATTGATACTAAGTGCACCAGGAAAGCTGTCACTACAACTGCAGGGATGGGAAACCCTAGGCTATTCCAGCTTTACACCTGTGCTAGTATCTCTCTCTTTCACACAGAGGCACACACACACGTACACGCACATCTCAGCTTTGTACATCTTCAGTCTTCAGCACAAGTTTCTGTGCTCTCTGGCATTTATTCAAGCACATCCCTTCCCAGGAAGACAAGCTGTGTACTTCCTCTGTACATTCAATATACACATGTATTTCCCATGGGTGCATACACCCTCCTCCCATTTTCACATGTGCAAGGAGGCATTGAAACAGTCCACCAGCACCACCAGCACCACCAGACTCACCCTTCTATGGCATTTCTTTTTTCCTTTCCACCATTGGCAGAGGGCACCCTATTCTTTTTCGTCCAACCTGCTGGCCAAGTGTAGAGAGAGCAGAAGGATTAAGCTCCTTCTTTCTCTCCCGTCCTTGCTGAAAGGACATCCCAAAATGGGTTTGGTGTCCCCTGAAGTGACAGTGAAAAAACTCCCCACCTTTCCCTACTTTTAAGCTCTGTTCTACTGTGTTTGTTCTCCAGACACCTCAAAGGATACTTTCTTCATAGACATTTCAAGTATAAAGTTATTGTATATACTTGCAGATAGACAAACCCATACTATATACTGCTCCCACCCTTGAAGAATGTCAGAACTAGTGAGCAGCTCACAGCTAACGAACCAACCCTGTTCCTCTTTCCTCAAATCCTTCTTATTTCTGTGCAAACCAGCATCTTTTGTCCAAGTTTGGGAAACCAACCCTGGAGTCAGAGAGGCTCAAACTCCTACTCCACTTCTTTTCTCTATCTCCCACTGGTCTGCCATAGATTGAATGGCTGTAATAGCCATAGTGAAACCACTAGCCTGACCTGCAGACAAATCTTCCCTCCCTCCCTCCACACCCCCCAGCAGACAATTCTAAATTTTAGCGTAAAATTTCTCAGCATATACGCAAATATATATATATATATATATATTTCAGCCCTAAACCCCCATAGTCTTCACAAAATAATGTAACAAGAACCTCAATATACCTAACATGTAAGTGCATCATCAAGTTAGTGTTGTTATTCTCCCTTCACTTTCTCCACGTCAAACACTACTCTTTTCTAGGCAGTTTTAGGAACAGTTGCCTGAGCAAGCACATTTTCCTGCATGTCCATTACACTGCTGTTGCTGCCTCCTCCTGTCACACACACACACAGAGACGTGTGCGCACATGCCTTTCCCTGCTGAGAGCCAGCAGAAGTGAACACTAAGGTCACTGCTGCTTCTCCTCAGCCCACCCCTTCCCTGCCTTTTTCTCTGCTTCCTGAAACCATGAGCAAGGATATCCAACTCCGACATCACTGTAAAGTGCAATGGCCAGGAATGGAGGAGAATGGGAGGAGCGAGAACATGGAAAAAGAGATAAAATGGGAGGCTTGGGAAAGGAGGAGGAGGGGAAACCAAAGAGGTGGCACTTGTCACCAGTGCTGCACTACTCACAACTCCAGTATCCCACAAACTAAGGACGACTCAGGAGAGTAGCTGATGGGATTGATCCCACCCCACCCTCCCATGCTCCACATACATCCCCAGTCCCTCCCCGCGCTGTTCCCCTCTCACTCAAACATCAGACTCAATACTGGAGAGTTTCTCATAAACATGCCCGTTGCTGGAGCCATTGAAAGCCCTGGGGTTTTTGTTGTTAGGCACACAGGGGTTGGACTGGTTCCCTATACAGATGTCCTTCTGGAAACGGGCTGGCACAGCCCCATGAAGGGCTGAGACCACCGGCTTGTTGGTGGTGACAATGGCTCGGAAGTCTGGCCTGGCTTTGGGCCCTCCTGCCACCACAGGCTGCCTGAAGAAATAAGATTTGCTGCCGTGGAGCAAGCATTGGTCATCCCCAAAAGTGGGGATGAAAGGGTTTTGGGTGACCCGGTCGGGGTAGAGCGACTTGCTGAGCATGTAGCCCCCACTGCTGCCGGGGTTGTTGTGGTGGTGGTAGCTGGTGGCGGGCACTGAGGACTTGTTGTTGGCAAAGGTGGTCTCACTGGCTGGCATCTCAAACATGTGGGCGTAGGGGCTCCCCTCCAAAAAGCGGCCCTTGTCCTTGAGGCTGACGCTGCGGGGGGCCAGGGCCGAGTCATCCTTCTGCAGGTCCACAAAGGTGTCGTAGGAGTGCTGCCGGCGGAGTTTGTTGCGGTTCTTCTTCTGCACCTTAGAGGCAGAATTGGAAGGGCTCTGAGGATATTTGGAGGAGGAGGTGGCACTGGTGGCCACGGGCACAGGGGCAGGCGGCTGGTCCAGCTCTTGGAGGGAGTTGTCCTCACTGATGTCGTACAGGTTGCCCGCTTTCTTGCAAGCCTCACAGCGGATGCAGGCCTGGCGGGTGGAGTTCTGCCCCACCGTTGATGGCGTGTAGTTGTGCAGTTTAGAAGGGCAACTGCGGCAGAAATTAGCCCCGCTCCGGTCTTCCCAGTCTAGATTGGTCAGGTTCTTCTCCCACGGCGCTGGGACCCCGCTCACAACGCTATGCTTGTGCTCATTGCTTCCACCAAACTCGCCTGAGCCGTGCTTGTGATGGGCCCTGTTAGTGCAGGATCCACCCCCTCCTCCTCCCGTGTCACGCTTAAAGTCATCTCCCCGTTCTTTGTAGATATCCGTCAGATCCACGTGCTCCCAGTGCGGTGAGTTCTCCTTGGTCCGAAACTGGTCAAGGTAGAAGTCCCGTAGCCCTTCCTTGTCCCTGAAGTAGCGCTTGTGGTCAGGTGAGCGGGGTGGGCGCCGGCGGTAGGCCAGCTCTATCTCATCAAATTCCCTCCGGGACTTGGCGGAGGCTGGGCGCTTCTTCAGGCTGTCCTTGTACTGCTGCTTCCGCCTCTTGGCTGCATTGCCCTCAATGTTGCCATAGGTGACCGTGTGAGTGGAAATGTCAGAGACATCTGAGCGGATCAGGTCGTCGTGGGTCCCACTGCCCCCGTAGCGGTCACTCTTGAAGGAGAACTTGCCATAAAGGTCACCCAGCTGGCTGTGCTTGGCAGCGGGTAAGCCCAGGTCCAGGGGCTTCTTCCCGATGGAGCGCGACTGGGCGTTGAAGGGCGGGTTGTCACAGTCATAGAGCCCGTCGATGGAGCTGGTGCTGCCAATGCTATGGGGGCGGTGGTGGTGGTGGTAGTGGTCCTGATACACATTGCTGTCCTTCAGCTGGAGATTGCCAAAGGTCCTTTCCACCTCACTAATGTAGTCACTAAAGAGGTTCTCCTCGCAGGGGGGGTTGTTGTAGGATTTGCAGTCTGAGTGGGTGAAGCTGCGGCGGTGCTCAGAGATGTCGTAGACAGATGACTCGCGGCGGATAAAGTCCAGGGCACTCTGTGGTGAGCCGTTGACCCCTGACAGGTTGGCCATGTTCTTGGCTGTCCGAAGCAGGCGGAGGATGTTGGAATGGGTGTTGTTCATAGTTGCTGTGGGGGAGTTCATCGCTGACTGGCGTTCTTCAATGGCCACGCCATGGATGCAGCTGTAGATACCCTGAAATGAGAGAAAGAAAGGAGGTGAGCAGTCCGGCAAAGAATACACAGAGGGGGACCTAAACTGGTAAGCACTCTGTGCATCAAGGGTCTGTTCCTGTAGGATAGTAGGGCCTATCAGCCTTCCATCGTGAAGCACAATCAAATCAAATGAAATCAGATCTGCTGTACCAACCCTTGTGGTTCTGACCCTCTTTCTACTCTCACATTTTTCTTTTCCCTCCATTCCTCTTCCTCTGCTTTGTTTCAAGTTGTATCACCAGGATGGAGGAATGTCTGCTTGCATCTATGAGAGCTAGTCAAATCTAGTGGGTATAACACAGAATTGTTAATGGGGACAATAATATCCTTGGGAATAAAAGAATCAAGACAAATGATTCTGTGGGGGTGAGAGGACAAAAGTCTGTTTTGGCCCCTGAAAATCATCTGGGCATCAGTGAATCAACAAGACAGGAGCTATCTTAAAAGGGAACAGCTTCGTTTGTCATAAACTTAGTTACCTTTATCACCAGTATAGATTAGAGAAGGAAACAGAGAAAGACCAGAACTCTAGGACAGGTATTTAGATATTTTGCATGTGGTTGACTGAGGTACAATAGAATTCTTAATTGCATTCTGTTAAATTTAACAGTGATAACAGGCTCTAAATTGACACTCCTGAAAGCAGAAGTCCTCTATTCAACCTCAAATCAGATAACAGAAAGGCCCAATTTCCACACATTCTCCACAAGCTCATTTCACCCATGACTGTTTGCAAGGGCTATTCCTAGGAACAGAACGAAAGGGGCTCCTTTATTCCCTGACCTTCCAAGTGGTGCCTGATGATTAATGTCAATTGTGAAATTGACACCATCACATCATGTTATCACGGTTTCTCAGCAGCTAGCAGATGATGAACACTTTTCAGACCCTTCACCAACCTGGCCCAGGTCTAACAGATAACCACAGAATGAAATAATCTATTCTTAGCTTAGGGTCACCAAACACAATGCCCCATCTCATCTCCAGACTAAACCACATTAGAAACTAACAATATAGAAGAGAGGCTGTGCCCTTGCATTCTAAAGGCTTTGTCATTTCTCTTCAATATGTTATGCAGCAATTATATACTCCTTGTACAATCAAAGTAACTTCTGCTACATCAGATGCTGAGCTAAAAAATGCCAAGGTTTGACCTCACTTCAGAATAGATCAGGAGAATGGACCAGTGGCTTGAAAGAAGGAAAATAAAGCTCCAAATGGGATACTGCTAGCAACACTAATAGTAGAAGATGACTCAGAAATGGCTAGAATCTGTTTTAAATGTAAATGTTGTACCCTAAGGCAGATTTGCATAAAGCAATTGCTAAGTTTATGTGGTCATCCTCTGTAAAAAGATTTCTGCATAGTTCAGGGCATGGCTTTCGGTTAAGGACTTCTGACTGTCAATGAAGGCACACTTCTAGTTAACAAAAGGTCAGCTGAAAAGCCGTAATTTAGAGGCCAATGTAAAACTCTTGAATTTCTAATCATGCTATCCATCATTACTTGATTACAACTCACAACTCATTTTGGAGGAACAAACAGTAACAGTTAACCTGTCTTTTCCTGTGTTTTCATCTCCATGTGAAATTTCCATTTCCTTTACCATAATCCAGCAGAGACCAGAGATGTCACAGAAAAGAACTAATGTGTTTTTGCAACGTTAACAGTGCAAAGATGACACAGCGCAGATTGCCACCTGTGTATTAGACAATCTTGGTGGATATTCCCATCTCCAGCACCTAGGACTATGTAAATAAAGCCTCTGTTTGTCACTGACAGTTACTGGCACTCACCCTGCTGATGGAGAAGACCACACCAGGCTTGCCAGAGCAGACACCCATGAAGCAGTGGCGGAATTGCCAGTAGAAGAGATGCTCACAGATGAAGGTGATGAGACTGAGGGCCATGGCTGCTCCCAACATGTAGAAGACACCTGCCATGTTATCTATATCCAGCTGGCTGCTCATAACCTCATTCTTCTCATTGTGACAAATGCCAGTGAGCCAGAGAGCTTCCAGCTCCTCCATCTCCCCTAGAATGACAGACAGGAGGAAAGAAACAGGTTAGATAATCCTGCAATGGCTGAAGAGCTCAAACTGGGGCATACTGAAAGCAAGATCTAATGTAATTTCCAGTCTTCACGTTCTTTTTCCACATCTCCAACATCTGTAAAATATCCTGACTGCCCTTCTGATGCAGGCAAATGCCATTTGTCACAGGAAAGTCAACAGGATTTTTCCAAGGCTGGTATTAGCCATAACAAGCAGTACCACAGGACACAGCTATGATGCTTGCTGGATGTCTACACTGAGATCCTGAAACAGTTGTCTACCACATGACTGAAGACCTGGCTTCAGAAACTTCCACTTTCATTAAGTCAATGAAGGGAAAAATTAGTGGCTGATAGTGGTAGACAAAAATTAATCACTACTAGATGAAAACATTGTATGTTTCCAACTTGGAATCAAAATATTGATTGTTTTCAATCAATTTTTGTTTCCATCATATCCATAGCTCATTAAAACCAAGTGCAATGTTCCAAAAAACATTTGAGTATTTTTACTTGTTTTTCTTCCCTTCAATTTTGTCCATATTCAACACTTACAAGGGCTTTGACCAATCAAAAATTTTACTAATTTGTATCAGCTATGAGCAAATGTTCTGTACTCTAATTTCATACACCACTTACTACCATTATTGAGCTTTCATGAGGGGTGAGAGAGAGGTAAACACTCACATGCATGCACGAATATTGGGACATTCAGAACAAACTAATTTTGCAGGATGACAAATTGTTTCATGTTTTTAGAAAAGTTTGTTTTTCACGTTTTCCATCTCCAGTCCAGTGTTAGGGGGAAAAATCCATACATTTAAGTAGTGCCATAACAGAGTCTTTGAAGCTTTGTGGAGAACTTATGTCCTTCTCTGAAATAATACATACTAGGCTTTTTAAGAAACAGAACAATCTATCTGTCAGGTGGCAAATTTTCTGAAGTATGTCCAAGTTATGTTCTTTCCATATTTATAGCACTATATGTTATTTTCAGATTTCGGGGGAGAAAAAGAATACTTATAAATAAAATAACCAGTGAATATTAGTTATTCATAAAAAAAGGACACAGGAAAATATAATGTGAAATGGAAAGACAGGAAAATACTTGTGAAAAAGGAATTTATTTTCTTATGGACAGTTTTTGTTAATGCCAGCATTTTCTCTGTAAATTAAGAAGTGAACTATGTAACTATAATGTTCTAATTAAAAACTCATTCCAAAATATGGTTCTGAGTCTCAAGTTTTTCTTGGTTTTTTAAAAATTTGGAATTGGGCTATTTTTAGGTTTTGGAAAGTCTGATTTAGCTCTTTCATTCCAGAAATATTTATCAATTCAGTAAAGCCTGCATGAATTGATCCTGTCTAGAGCTATTAAGTATGGCATAACCACAGACAGTCCAGCGTGATTAGTGGGTTTGGTCATGGCAAAACCTCAAAGCTAGTGAAAAATTCACACCAGAGTTCTTGTTTTTACAAGATATTTTTCACATAAGATATTTTTCAAACACACATCTGATCTTGTTCTATGAAAACTTTAGTGCTTTTGTCATTAAAGGCTTTTGATGATACTGCTACCCTGCATCAATAACAAGAGTGACATTCTCGCATTTTTGGTGTGTTGCCTCTAAAAAAACCCCATTAATAATTCCATGTTCTCAACTCACATCTGAAGTACCACAGCTAGAAAATTCAGTTTCTTACATGCAAAACTCAGTATTTCTTAGGAAAATTCCAGTACTTCTCTTTCTTGTCACTTACCATCTCCAAAAAGCTGTAGAATCGCAAGATCAACCTGGCGCTTCCAGCCTGAGTCCTTCTGGATGGCAATGCCATAGCCAGTGGAGGCAAACACTTTCCCACTCCCAATTGTCACCAGCTTGCAGCCTTCATCTCTGCCAGCCATGTAGTTTAGCACTGCTGCATCATAAATGAAAGCATCCAACTTCCTGCACAGAGGCAAGAAACAAGAGGGTATAGTACAGAAAACATAACATCTGCATGAAATCAAAGGTGGTTTTAGGGAGCTAAGGAAGAAATTAACCTCTTTAAGATGGACTGCAATATGCCATGTAGAATCATAGAAAGCTTTGGGTTGGAAAGGATCTTAAAGACCCCTTATTACCAACCCCCATGACATGGGCAGGAACGCCTTCCACTAGATGAGGTTGCTCAGAGCCCTATCCAGCCTGGCCTCAAACACTCCTAGAGATGGGGCATCCACAAGTTCATCACCTCATAGTAAAGTGCCTCACCACCATCATGCAAAAGATTTTTTTTCCTAATATCTAATCTTTCAGATTGAAACCATTCCCCCTTGTCCCATCATGTCCCATCATGTACTAATTAAAAGTTTCTCTCCAGCTCTCTTGTAGGTTCCCTTCAGAAAGGTCACCCTAAAGTCTTCTGAACAATCCCAATTCTCTCAGCCTTTCCTTGTAAGGAGATGTGCTCTATCCTTTTAATCATTTTGGTGGCCTACTCTGGATTCGCTCCAGCAGGTCCATGTCCTTCCTATGCTGGGGACTCCAGAGCTGGATGCAGCACTGCAGGTGGGGTCTCACCAGTGCAGAGCAAAGGGGCAGAATCCCCTCCTTCATCCTGCTGCCCACGCTCTTTTGGATGCAGCCCAGGATACAACTGGCTTTCTGTGCTGTCAGTGCCATTGCTGGGTTGTGCCCAGCCTCTTGTCCACCTGCACTCCCAAATCCTTCTTGGCAAGGCTGCCCTTGATCCCTTCATGCCCCAGCTGGTGTTGATACCAGGGGTTGCCCCAACCCAGGTGCAGCACCTTGCTCTGGGTCTTGTTAAACCTCATTAAATCTTCATGTGCCCACTTCCTGAGCCTGTCCAGGTCCCTCTGGATGGTATCCCATCCTTCAGGTGTCATCTTTACTTTCACCATACTTAGATTAAAATCTAAGCCTAAAGCTGTTTCACAGGTGAATCTGGGTTATAAATGAGAATCGTCTATTTCTTTCTGACTATGTGCTAATCATCATTTCTGATCTTAAAGGAAATTTGGAATACACACATACTGCAAGATAAAGATGAATGAAGAGGGAGTCAAGGGGATCTATATCCTTAAGAATAGCTTATATTTCTCTACTGCCTTTTATCTCAAAATAATCTAAAATGCCTTATAAAATATATCAATATTAGATAGCAAAGTAGGGATTGAAGTAAGGAAAATATTTTCTCCAATTCAAGTACTGGCATGACTTAGCTGAGAAAAACGATTTTTTTTCAAATCAAATACAGTCAGGACATTATGTTTAACCCCTCAGTTACTGTGAAAAGTACTACCAGATCTTTACCAATGTCAACTGGCCACAAGAGCAGCTTTATAGTTTACCCTGTTGAATTGGTCTTTGTTATAGAATTTTCAGTTGAAAATCACAACAAAAATTCTGTTTCAACACAGAGAAATCCCCATTATGGACTGTGTAGAGAGCACAATGGCCTGGTGAGAGCCTTTTCACACTGCAACAAATTGATTTGGATGTGGGGGACAGTCTCAGGAGGCTGCATCTTCCACAAACCCAAAGACAGCTGATGAGTAAATCCTCCCACTAGATCTGAAATGAAAGATTTTCTAATAAATGACCTAAGATCTTCCAGTTGCACATTATCTCTCACATACTAAGTTTACAATACACCTCCTGCATATATATTTACAGTATGGTGATTATCTCAGTTCAAGTGCTTCTCTGTGAGGAAGTCTGTCCAAGGGTGAACATGAAGCCAGGATGACATCTATCACAAGAGATGACCTCTCTCTCATCCATATATTTCCAGGACAGTGCATATTTATTTCCTGAATGATGACTATCCTGGCAAATGTACCTTCCCAGGATGATATCCAACTATGGTACAGCCATTTGCAATGGGCTGCAAGCCTCTGAACCTGGCAAACAGGTTTAGGAATATTCAGTCAATCTAGTAATTACATTGGCTAAACATCTTAATTTGTGCTTTGAAACGAACTTTCTCCTAAGAGTATAACATGAGTGTAAGCAAAAATGTTTTTTATTCACTGTGGCTGGGTCAGTTCTGAGAGCAGGTCTTTAATTACAAAGGACAAAGGCTTGCAAAATGTCATTTTGAGTTAGGTCCTTCGCAGATTCCCTGTTATTAAAATGGGATGAGCTATTCAAGCATGCTTTTTGCTAACGATTTTTCCCATGTCTCCAAAATTACCTAAGGAAATGCCTACATTTTTATACTTCCATATTATTCAAATAATGTTTTGTTTAGCCCTTGATACTAAAATATTCCAGAGAGTAGGCTACTTCCAAACTATTTGCTTCAAACCTACCTTCCATTATACTGTATTAGCTGGCGATACACTGGGGTGGGATTAGTCTGACAGCTTCCTGATTAACATAATCTTTTACACACAGAAGGAGGGAAAACAAAGGAATTTCCAGATGACAATATAAATGCTCTGAAGAAAACTTTGTCCACAGAGACCTGTGAGCTTTTCTTCTGTATGCATAAAAACCCATCAGCATGAAACATCTTGATGAAGCAAGGTCTTGGGGACCAACACACACATGGATTGTGTACACAGGGATACAGTAGATCCTCCTTTTCCTTTTTTTAATTCTTATAAACACAGCAAATCAAGTAACTTTTAAACAGATATCAATAGAAAAACCTGGTAAAAAGAACCACGGAGTCACTCTCCTGTACTACTGTGGTCTTGCTATACTTTTAACCATGGAATGACAATCCAGGTTCATTTTTAAAACCCTAAAACTTAAATTTTCCAGACAAGCATGAAAAAAGGCAGATTTCTGTGGTGAGTAAGCATGCAAGAAAGCCTCACCCAGTCTTCAGCGAGAACAAAGCATCATCCACACCCCTCTGATTGAACTTCACCATGTAGCTGTGCATTTCAGGGTAGTTGTTGCGGATGTTCCTTTCCGTGCTGCCGTTGGGAACCGTCCCGAAGCGGAAAGGGGGCGAGAAGTCATTTGGTTTCTGGAACTGGAGAGACAGGAAAAGGAATATTTCTCACAGTCATCGGGTTGGGAGAACATCAGAAGGTTTGATCTGATTTTATTTTACTATCATGCAGAAAACATAATTGAAAAGATATTTTATTGTTTTCAAACATGAATATCTCCTATTAATGCCAAAGACACAAGAAGTAAATCTGAGCAAGTTGTTCTTTTTCTCTACTCTGGATTAAGTGCATAAAATAGTCAGTGATCAGAGATTAGGTAGGAGGTTAGATAAAAGCAAAATGGAAAGGGAAAATGTAACAGTGGTGCTGGAACACAGTCAAGAAACGGTTTCCAATAAAATCTATGTGATGTGCTTTTTATCCACAAACTGTCATTTAGTTCCTAAGAAGTATCTTTTTCAGCTCTGTGGATGCCTTTACACTTCCTGGTCCTGACAGAGATAGAAAAGTAATTAATGAGCAGAGATGCCTCTCAGCACACCTCACACCCACTTCACCAAGCAAATTATTAGCTTTCAGAGTTTTGGGCAAATGTCCCAAATAAAATGCTGTTAGTGGCTGCAAGTTACTAGTTACATTTGATGCCCAGAACAGAGCTGGCAGAACACTCCAAAGCTTTTGCTGCTCACAAGAAATACATTCATCATATCATTCCCCCACGGCTGCAAGCCTCTGAGATTTTATATGCCACTTGCTTAACTCAAGTCATAATCAATGCTCTCTGGGATTTTATGAGGAGTAAAATTTAGACTGTCAATTATCAAGACTGCTTAAAACCCCTAGAACCAGCAGATGAGAAGGAGCACAGAACTATAAACTAGGAACTGAATAATCAGTAAAGAAAAAGATGCAAAGGTAGGTTAAATGGAAGGAAGCCTCCTCCTCTCTGGATATATCAAGCAGTAGCTTGCCTAGTGCTATTTCTTGGCTCCCAAGTGTGACTGTGTATTTCTATGATCCTGAGAAGCACACTGACCAGAGGCTAATGGTCACACCAAAACCATTTAAGAGCAGGAGCGCACCTGGTTCATGAATATGTGCAGTCATGCACTGCCACCTTCTACAGGGCTGCAATCCACAGACAGTTCTAGCTCAAAACACGTGCAGATGAACCTTGTTCTTGAGCTCCACTTAAAGCCATTTGGGAACTTGGTCAGCTCAGCTGAGGAGGCCAGGGCAGTGCATCTTGCTCACATCTCAGCCATGAGGACAGCTAGAAGCTGGGTCTGTGGGTAGATTACACACTGTTCACTTGTTTCTGTGCACCAGCCAACTCATCTCTCCAGTCTGGATGGCAAGAGGGGCCAACTTGCATGTGCATGTGAGTGTGTAAGAGAAACACGTGTCCTACTGCTTTAAGCCAATAAAAAAACATCAGGGCTATTTTTCTGAACTTAGGCTAGTGCATCACCAACAAAACAGAAGTTTCACACAGCATAAAACAGACTGTAAGGTGTCTCTTAGAACTCTGTCACACCCTCTAGGGAGGAAGAAAACTCGCAGCTATCAAAGACTGTAATGAAAGCAAACTTTGATGGGAGGAAAATCACCGCAGCATGCTAAAATTATTCTTTTTTACTAAGCTGATTAAAGCAGCAGCCTAGGGGACCCATCACAAGGAGGGCACTGCCATGCCAGACACAAAGAAACACAATCTCTCCCCTGACATGCTAAACCAGGAGATTGCAGCATGGATGGGCAACTTGCTTTCCCAGAGGCTGCAGAACCCCACCTTAAAGGCATACAAGACATTCCCATTCCCACAGAGCCCCCTGACAGAGTGCAGCCAACAGGAGAAGCATCAGGCTGGCCTGACCAGCATTTGTGTGACTGAGTTTTGGCCAGTCCATTTTATACCTCCACCCTCCATTCCCAATCATACAATCTCTGCTTTTGTCTGATTCCATCATGGTGCCTACAAACTGGAGTAAGAAGGATTACAAAGGCAGGCATTTCCCCGTGATAAGGGAAATAATCCCAGCTCTGAACTATCTTTTGTTCTCACACTGTTCCAGAGCCCATAATAGCAACCACAGGTGAAGGGTTCCAGAATCTCCTGGGCAATCAATAAATAAATGAAAACATTTCTCTTGTAAGAAATTACTGTTTCTGGCTACAGGAAAAGCATATTTCTAGAGAAAGAGGTCAGATTGATGACTTCTTCAAATTCACAGACTACTCATTCACTCACCAATCCTTGCCTCCTGCTGACTCCTTAGTCAGACCAGATCTTCAAATGCAAATAACTCTCCACACACCAACATGCACACACACTTCTTCAGCAATAGCTTGGTGAGCAGCAAGACAGGAAATGATATGAAAGGATCCATGTGGGGCCCACACCAGACAATTTTAGCCTGAGTGCCCAAGAGGAACACAGATCCCCAGCTAACCTAGCCTAGTGTTTCCAAAGCTGAAAGTAACCAATGTCCAGCTGACTCCACAGTCCCTGCAGCCAGAGATAAGCAGCTACTTCTCCCTATTTGAGAAGTAATAGCAATACATGCATGGAGCTTTCTGATAGGAGATAGCAGCTCAAAAATCCCCATGTGTTTCTTGGCAGTAAGTGGGCACAGCTCAGTCCAAGGATGAAGAGATCTCCAGTGAGCTCTCCAGAGTCAAAAACTATTGCATCATTCTGAACTTCTGTCCCACACAGCTCATCCTGAGGGAACAAGAAGATGTGTGAACCTTCCCAGAAAGTTCATGGGATAGATGAGGAAGGAGTGTGTCCTCTTCTGCCAACACAGTAGAGGAATGTGTGGAGGAGCTGGAGATGATTTGTAAGGAGGAAGGTTAATTGACAGATTGTCAAAGAGCTCAGTAAGGACAGCCACTTGTTTGATTTCTCCCAGGGGCTGGGACCATGAGCCTGGATCACAAGTATCATCCCCAGGGAAGCAGGGCTCTTTGGCAGACGGGTCTGTAGGGAGTCTGAGACATGAGGGAGGAGCTGATGCACAATGAAGGGGCCATTACATGGAGGAAGCCTGTGCAGAGGTAATCTCAATGCTGCAGTGAACACTGACAAAGGAATTAACCACAGATGTGGACAGAAAGGGTCAGAATGTAGATTAATTGGAGAACTGTCCCATTATTTCATGCAAAAATTTCTCCTGTCAGAGCTTTAAGTCACAACAACTTTACTCCAGGCATCTGCAAAGAGAAGTCCTGTGAGGTTCTGGCAAAAAAAAAAACAAAACAAAACAGTGGCAATAGGAGAAAGGAAGGTAAGCAAATACATCAGTTGCTGAGAAAACCCAGCTGTACAGGGTCCACACTTGTAGGAGCCCCACGTTATACCTGCCTGCAGCAGGAGACCTGTCCTGCTGCCCAGCTCTACCTGCCTCAAGGGGTGACTGCCTGTGAGGAACCAGCAGAGCTCAGCTGCAGTCCTGCTCCCAAAGAACCCCAGACAGAGATGTATCCCACTTGCATCCTCCCACTCATTCACCATGGAACCTCTGCTGGGAGATGCTCCCCTATTATGTACCCAAGGTGGTGGGCACATCCTCTCACCCCTGAAAGAAGTCCCACTTGCTTCACATAAGTTGTGAAGGTGGATTTTAAAGTTGGGGTGGAAAGCAGGCACCGAGGATGCCTGAAGGGCTGCAGTAGCTCTGGGCCATGAGATATCTATGTTCAGAGCCCAGTGGCTGCCTGCTTCTTCAACCCCTCACTCCACAGACTGAAATCAAGGAGCATTAAGTGCAAAGCAGACCTCGGCTTTGCAAAAGTAACCTCTCCGAGTCAGAGAGCAGAAATCTTCCTCCTCTGGAGAGCAATAAACACACAGGCTGGAAGCTGTTAGCACATTCAGGGCAGAGAGCTCCTTTGCCGCTCCTCTCCCCATCTCTCCACGAGCGCTGTCGACAGCGGCAGTGAAAGCGGGCTGAAGTGGCTCGGCTGGCAGAGCTGTTTCATTAGCAATTTGGAGCCGTGCCGTGCAGAAAGCAGCATTGTTCTCAGATGTTCAGATATCAATCTGCATAATGAAACAGGTTATAGGAGCTCTTCCCATTCATGCAGCAGCAAATGGAGGGGATTTAGAGATGAGGGGAAGGGGTTATGTCTAATTGGCGACAATTAATTTGATGAGAATTTTTTTTTCAATATATTGTCTATCACCGAATGGATCCTACAGAAAAGCACATCTGCGCTTATTTATCTGCCTCATGTAGGCCCTGTTTACACTGTAAAGTGTTTGCCAATAGCATTGAAAGCAGTTTCCCAAACTCAGCAAGCTCTTGCTACAAAAAGTCTCTTTTTTATCAGCCGATCTACTTTTACACTGCTGAAAAAAAGCCCAAATCAATGTACTGCTGAATAACATAATGAGCTGACAGAACTTGGCGCAAGGGTGGGTGTGTGGGTGTGTGGGTGTGTGGGTGTGTGGGTGTGTGGGTGTGTGGGTGTAGTGCTTTACCCTTACACAGCCTCTCTGGGAGGGCTCCTTACACTCTGTAATGCCCTGATGACCAGTTAAAAGTTTTTTACCGCAGGGAGCTCCACAGCTCTGACCCATCAAACTGAGCGCCACAAATTCAGCTCCTCTGCTAGCTGCAAGTCCAAAAGAGCTTAAGCCCATGTTAGATACTTTTGAGCTCGCTTCATTTACCCAAAAGTAAGTGCCAAGCTGAGATGCCTAGGGAATTTCACCCCGGGAACAGGTCTCTCATAGTCCCTGTGTCAAATTTGCCCACCACCTGAGGGTAGTTTGGACACTCCAGTACACCTAAAATAGCTCTAGACATCTACATCAGACTAAATGAATCTAGCCACTGGGCCATTCAGCACTCAGGGCATCTCCCACCAAAAGCACAGGGAGCCAACCACTATGGGTAGCAACAAGCCTGAAGTGCCCACCACCCCCTAATGTACAACTTCTTTGCATTGCCCAAACATCCTTGATTGTCTCCTCTTGTTCTGGTTCAGCTGTATGTCACTGCAGTCAGCTTGCCCCTTTCTTCACTGCCTGAAAATCCAACCAGGCTGTTTGCACAAGAGCTTCCTTCAGAAC